CAGATAATCCTTGCTTAACGACCATTCATTTAACAACAGTTTAAAGTTACAAAGGCCTTGGAAAAAGTGCTTTACGGCCTGTACTTGCACTTACAACTGTCACAAACCATCTCACCACCCCCCACAGTCATGTGATCGCAATTTGCGACCATTTTTACAATGGTCGGTAAGCGAATCATGTGGTTGTTAAGCGAATCCAGCTTAACGACAGTGGTGATTTGCTTAATGACCACTCTGCTGAACAATCAATTTTCCAGTCCCTATTGTGGTCTTTAAGCAGGGACTACCTGTAATACAATTGTATTCTGGATTAAATGAGTGGCTGTTGTTGCATTGCCATCATAGAACAATGTTTAGAGCAGGAGTTTTCAAACTATGGATTGTGGCCTTTTGGGGACTGGTAAGCAAATCTGAAGGGGAGCCCAAAAATGTGGGGGGGGGGGGTTTACACACAAAGCAGGAACTCTACAAGAACTTGTTCCTGCTCTGTCTGGAGAAGCTGAGAGATGACTTCGCATACATAAATTTCATGAGTTATATACCCAAAGCTGGATTGCTGTCAAAAATCACTCTTGCTCTTCCTGGACAAGCTGACTTCAGAATCAGGATTTTCTACCGTTGCTGGAATAAAAAGCAAATATTGATCCAGAATAAGGGTACGGTGTGATTGCCTCAAAAATAAAGCAGTTTCCCAGAATTATGCAAAACTAAAGCAAGTTCATCCTACCCATTAAGAAATAGGATTTTAAATTTGACTGTTCGATTGTTTATTTCCAACAAAAAGCTTTTATTTTTGAAAGCTGCAAGATTCTATCGTAGCTTTATTTGAAAAATAGATTAAAATTAATTATTAAAAGGCAATGTATTATTTATTTTGTGCCCAACCCTAACTCCATTTAAAGCATTAGTTTTATGTGGGGGAACAAATTTATTTATAATTTTAGTGGGTGACAGCACAACAAAGTTTGAGAACTCCTGCTTTACAGCGGTGTTTCTCAACCTTGGCCATTTTAAGATATGTGGACTTCAACTCCCAGAATTCCCCAGCCAGCATGCTGGCTGGGGAATTCTGGGAGTTGAAGTCCACACATCTTAAAATGGCCAAGGTTGAGAAACACTGTTGTAAAGCATAAAGTAAACAGCAAAAGAACATTCACCCTCCCAATTCTGCCAAAAGGGAAACAGAAGACAGTGGGAGGAACGACAAGGAAGATGCAGGGATCAGAAGCAAAAGCTTTCTTTCTTTTCAGCCACATGTATTTAGCACCTTCATTCCGGCCAGGAGGGGTGTTTAAGACTACAATCCTTAGTATCCTTGTTAAAAGCAGGCCCAGCACCCTACCTTTACAGAAGCATTTGGGGTTGCATCAGAGGTGCACAGAAGTAGCCCCAGCGTGGAAGTCAAACTTCCCCAACTGGGCACCCTCCACACGCACTGGACTTTATCTCCTGTCATCTCTAACCAGCACCAGCTTGTGGGACAGGACACAGGGGTTCTCTGAAGGAATTCCAAGTGTGGTTTACTTACTACTCTTTTGTCCAGCCTTGCCTACAAGGAGCTGAGGGCTGTCCACAGAGAACCCCTTTTAGCCCTCATAAGGGCCCTTGGAGGTAGGTTAGGCTGTGATATACCCATTGAACTTAAGGTCTCTCCATTGATGGTCTGTTCCACACTCACCCTTCAAACTCTCAGACGTGGTTAAAGGTTTGCCCTCACTGCAGCTGACCTTGACTCACTGAGATCCTCCTCATGAAGGCTGATCAATGAGAAAGCATCCGGTGCCCCCTCCACTCTTAGATCACTTACTTGGCAAGTTTAGAAAATCCCCACATGCACCCTCAGGAGTGAAAACTGCTGTGATATCACCCCTCAGCTCACAACTCATTTGAATAAAGGATGGGGTAACGGTAGCACCTTGGCAGGATGAAACTACCCCATCACCCCTATGGGCTCTGAAGGTGCAAATTCCCAATAAAAGGAAAACAACCTATCCAGAAACTGTGTGGAGTCTACTGCTCCAGAAGGAAAACCAGACAGCAGCGTCCCTTCAGCTGGGCCCTAAACGAATGAAGTCAGCTTCCCAGGAGAGAGAACGCACAGGGCATGGAGTCGGTCTGGGAGTGGAGCAAATGCCATGTGTGAGTCCAACAGTCAAGGCACAGGGGGAAGCAAGAGCAGGAGAATGTCAAGCTACTATAACGACAGAGGAACATAAGAGCTGTGCTGGATCAGACCAAAATTCTATTTCCTCTTCCGTCCAAGTTTCCAGCAGCAGAGCCAGATGTCAGTAGAAGCCCTCCGTCCATCACATCATGCGCAGAAGAGCACCCTCCTCCTTGTGATCTTCAACAGCTGGTACTGAGTGCCACACTGCTTCTGATATGGAGAGTAATACCCAAGACCTTTCTTCACGTGCACCTATTCACAGGGCAGACATGTGAATCTTTTTGCAACCTCTTTCTGCCATATCCTGAGCAAGTGGCCATCCTCTCCAGCACATGAGTAACACAGCCTTAAGTCATCCTTAGCCAGGCTGGTTATATTCTCTTCCTTATTCCTGCTCTATCCAAGAGCGGTCTCAAGGTCTGTGCAATCTGTTAGGCTCCGTCCCCCACGACCTTGGAGGCATCGGGCGATTGGGGTGCCTGGAACAGAGGCAAAGTAGGCAGGAGAGCAATCCTCAAGGGGACGTCATCTATTTTTGCATTCTTTTAATTTCAGAAAGCAGGCTAGACATGTTGGATGTCTGACAGCTTTGCAGTACAATCTTAACTGGCTGATGCATAAGTGTGTCTGTGTTTGTCTGTCTGTGCCTTTAAGACATGGCCTAAACAGCCCCTTCCAATGCTGTCATTTTGAAATCAATTCCAAAGAACAGCCTGGCACTTCCCTGAAGAACATTTTAGAGAACTACAGAATAAACAAAATGGCCCCGACTTTTACCAGGCGTGCATGCACCTCAGTTGGGTGACACCGTTTTTCTTGCTAATAATCCCGCGCCTTTAACAGTGGCTTAAGAAGCATAAATCTAAACAATTCCCTTCAATGTGGCTTCCAAAAGACAGATGTTGTATTCTCATCCTCCTGCTTAAAGGTACAAATGTTGCACGCAGTAAAAAGCATCAAGACTGATCCTGAAAACATTGCTTTCCTTTAAATTCTGCAACGTTACGTTCAATTCTGTATTTCACCTTCTTTTGTTCCACGTTCCACATTCTGAAATAGCCTTTCACTGAAAGAGAATATGAGCGTAACGCCGGGAGCAGCAGCAGAGGCTCCAGTGTGGTTCTCCTTCTAACATCTCCTGAAACACCATCACTGATTCACAAGATTCTCATCGTTCCTAGTTGGGAAGTGACTCCCAGGCTGAGTATTCAGAAGAGGCAATCTTGGTATATCAATAAAAAGTGGATCTGGTGGAATATAAAATGGAACTGGGTCCATCGAATAGGCTGTATTGGAAACACGCAGGGTATTGCTGGGGAGGCACATTTAAAATAAAAGGGGTATGTTTTTACCAATGGTTGATAAAACTGTGTAGAGAGTGACAGAACCAGCTCTTACAGGAGGCAGAGTGAACTGGATTTGGTCTGTCCCAGAAGAACAACAAAGGTTTCCTGCCAGGTAAGGAGAGAAAGAAAAAATATTTTTCTCCCTCCATTGTTGGACTTGACAACTTTATACCTTGATCTGGAGAAGGCACCTTCTCTCTACAGTATTCTTTAGCCCGGAAAGGCATCTTGGGTGAGCTGTAGGGGATGATTCAAGGAGCCCCCAATTCCAATCTTGCATCAGCCACACTTTCCTTAGCTTCTGCATACCCATAAGCGTATTTACCAGGGAAATAATCTTATTTGCTTTGGATTTACTTCTGACCAAGCCAGTGAGAATGAGGTCGTCCTCTAAGTGAAGGAAGGTAACCGGGCAGGATGGCTACAGATCCCAGAGCAAGATTTTGTCTGTGTGTGCCTTCAAGTCAGTCTTGATCCCTGGCAACGGCCTGGACAAGTCCATGACATTTTTTTTGGTAATATTTTTCAGAGGTGGATTGCCCTGGCCCAAAGTCACCCACCCACCCAACCAAATTCAGGGACACTGATTTTCAGAAATGTCCGGAATCATAAATTGCTGTGTAACTGCAATATATTGCTATTTTGAAACTAAATTATTGGACCGTAGTACCTCCCTTCCCCAACCAGATTGGCTGGATTTTGAAGGCAGTTGAAGCCCAACACATCTAGAAGGCAACTAGTTGGCTAGCTAACATTTGATGTAATCTCTAAATTCATTTTCTTGAAGTCCTGAATGCTTCCTGTCCCCCTTGGCATTCTTATATGCCTTTTTTTGCTGTCTTCTCCCCCTTTAATTTTCATTTAGGGTTTCTCCATTAAGATTTACTTCATGATATTTCTACAGGCAATCATTTGTTTATCGATCGCGCATATTTTACAATATTACAGATGTGCCCATTTGCCACGAACTTGTTTGTTGCATGCTTTACGTTGTAAGATGCCTTGAAAATTCATCCCAGACAGAAGAAAAGATATAAATCGAACAAATGCCTGAATATAGTTAGTATCTCTCTCACAAATATACACACAAACTTAACACACTTCATATATATCTCTAATTTAAAGTTGGGAGATTGCAGTCGTAACACCTTCTATTTCTTCTTTTGAAATCAGATATGTTACCACTAGTCGTTAAATTGCTACTTTAACTACTACTTCTAGCGGCTAGAGTACTACTGACACCAGTAGAGTCAGTGTTCAATTGAATCCTTAGAAGCCAACAGACAAAAAAGAAATGTAAACAGTGGTAACATCTGCTTATAGCCCAAGCACTTTCCCTCAAACCCGCCAAAGAAGAAAATGTTAAAAGAACATCTGAAGCGGAGCTGAAGGGTCTCCCATGAGAGAGAAATGCATCAAGAGAGCCAAGGCAACTTTGCTCTTGGGTCTGAAAGTAAGCCTCCTCTCAGTTCTCGTCCATTACTTACTTTTAGTCAGGGTGGAATAAACCAGCTTCTCCTTGGTTCCCACAATTTGAAAGGGAGGGAAAGGACTTCCTCATCACACTGTAGCGTTAATCCACACTTGTTTAGGTGGAGATAATTCCTTGCAGACCAGGAAATCAGACATCTTCTTCACCTCTTTCTTTCTTTCTCTCTCTCTCTCTCTCTCTGTCTCTTGCCACCTTTCCTGCTGATTTCCTGCCCTCTAAGAGCTCTGCAGAGGCAACACTAGAAGTGTGTTTTTAGTACTTGTTTGACCACAAAAAGTTCTAAAGCAGCCCCAAAGTTTCCTGCCAACTTCAACCCTCCCCTTCTTCAGTTCTATAGCTGAATCGTGTGGCTGGCCCCCTATGGATCTTCTGACCCACATGGCGTGCAACCTTGACACATGACCTGGGCTGTGCCTTTTGAACCCGGGGAACCATTGCACTGGGGAGAAGACAGAGACTGTATGAATTGAAAGGATGTTTCAGGAATGTTTCCAGGCATCCACATTCATGTCAATGGAGCCTAGTGGTCTACGTTCCAGACTTGGTCCAGAGTGATCTCACGATGCCTTCTCTCAGCTTGATTTTCCTCATATAGAATCCCCAGAGCTCTAATGATTCTCCTTTCTGAATGGGGCAGCTGACTAGCCAGGAAACAATTCCAGAGAATTGCTCTTCTGGTGGACCTGGAAGGACAGGACATGGTGACACAGTCAGTCACAACCAAGTTCAGAAGACTGTCTTGCCCCCCCACGTTGATTTTTGTCCCCTCATCCTGACATCTTTATTGCTTAAGTTTCATTCATGTACTCCAAAACTTCAAGTCACACCCAACACTTTGATGGCTATATGATAGGTTTGTTCTTTCATTTGAAATGGGATAGTCTTTATGGACACTTTCTGGAGCAAAATGCCTTAAGGAGGAATTGCACAGATGAACATGATGAATAAATCCCACTTGGAATGTTTATTTCTCACAAACATGTGTCAGTGAAACAAAGAAATAATAAATAACCAGCTAAGAAGGGGAGGATAAGTAGAAAATAAACTAGGGCACTGGAAGTTGAGACTATAGCTGGAGAGATGAGGACAGTGAGATGATTGGAAACAATGAGAACTTGCACACAGAACATATCCAGTAAAAACACTATGCAGCTTTTCTGTCTTTCTAGGAAGGAAGGGAGGGAGGGAGGGTAGCAATTGTGGAAAAAAACAGGAGGGGTTCAAAGGAAGACAGCTGTCCCTTGGACTCCTGAAATGAGGTAGAGAGAGCCAGGTTTTAATTGCCCCATGAGAAGAGGGCTAGAGGATGGCTCATTATTTAAAGTTATAAATTGCATCAATATTTTTTTTACTTAAGGCAGTAAAACTATTCAGTTAAAAGATAATCCCAAGTGTTATTTCCATATTTGTGGTTTTCCCCATATGCTCCCATTTTGTGAGGACCATTTGCTTAATGGACTAAAAACAGAGGAGGAAAAATTACACAAGCATAGCATGAGAAGAAAGGGGAAACCCCTAAGAATCTAGACAACAAGAAGATTTCCATGCTGAAAGGTTCACTGGGAACTACTTGACCTCTCGGTGGCTTTGTTACCATTGACCATGGTATCCTCCTGGATCAGCTCTGGCGATTGGGAGCGGGCGGCACTGCGTTGTGCTATTTCTCTTCCTTCCTGTGGGACCGATACCAGTCAGTGTTGATCAGGAGAGGTCCCACCCTCGGGCCCCACCGTGTGGGGTTCCGCAGGTTCGAATCTCTCTCCACTCCTGTTTCACATTTACATGAAGCCATTGGGGGAGATCACCCATTACCACGGGGTGAGATAGCATCAGTATGTATCACTCATACATACTGATACCCAGCTATACCCTTGGTGAATGAAGCAATGCTGTCGATGTCCTCTCTTGGTGCCTGGAGGCTGGCACCGAGATCCACAGGCTTCAGCTCAGCCCTGGCAAGACGGAGTGGCTTAGGGTTTTAGGGCCTTCTGGATATGCGACTTTGCCATCTTTGATGCTGGAGGGGGCTTCACTGCCCCAAACAGACCCAGTGCGCAATCTGGAGGTCCTTCTGGACTCATGACTACTGCTCAAGGAGCAGGTGGCAGTTGTGGCTTGGAGGGCCTTTCTGCAGCTTTGTGTTGCACCTGTTCCTGGGTCAAGAGGCTCTGCTTACAGTTACTCATGCCCTAGTTGCCTCCGAACGGACTACTGCAGCACGCTCCATATGGGGCTGCCCTTGAAGAGCATCTAGAAGCTTCAGCTGGTGCAAAACATGGCGGTGCAGGCAGTTCTGTGTGCCCCTAGAATGGCGCACATTACACCTCTGCTCCGCAAGCTGCACTGGTTGCCAGTTTGCTTCCGGGTTCAATTCAAGGTGCTGGTTTTGACCTTCAAAGCCCTGCATGGCCTGGGGCCAGGTTATCTGAGGGACCGCCTCTCCCTGATCACATCAGCTTGTCCCATCAGGTCTGGCAGGAGGTGTATGTTACGGGTCCCGTCTGCTAAGGAGCTCCATCTGATGGGACCCAGGAGACAAGCCTTTTCTGCCATGGCCCCCACCCTGTGGAACATCATCCTCCCCAAGGTGTGATTAGCCCCAACACTATTGACCTTCCAGAAATCTCTTAAAACGTGGTTTTTCCAGCAGGCCTGGAGTTCCCTTGGAAACAGCAAGCCAGTGAGATGGTTACATTATGTGTAGGTGTTCAGCTGTTTTTCATTATTAGACTTGCTTTAATTGCTTTATTTTATTGTACGTCATCCAGAGTCACATCCCTGAGATGGGCAGCTATATAAATTTGATAGATAAATACATAAATAAACAGAAGGGGTCAAAAAAAGGCCTGTTCTGATAGCTCTTCATGGACCTCTTGGAAGGAAGAGTCCTGGCCAGATCCAGCCCAGGGCCCACCTAGCCCATCATGCTGTCCCCCAGAGCGGCCAGTCCCTCTTTCTGGGTTGCTCCCTTACAGCTGGTCTTTGCAGTCATCTGCCACTTTCAGGGGGTGCTATGATTAAGATAGTAGCCACGGATGGCCTGATTCTCCAGGAATTCATCCCATTCTTCCTTAAAACCGTATACGTATACATGGGTGTATATGGGGATGGTCACCATATCTGATGGCATAACTTAACTCTGTCTTGAGTTTAAAAAACCTTCCTTTTAAAGGTGCTGAATCTCCTGACATTGCACTTTAATGGGTGACTAATATTGTGAGAGAGGGGGAAGAGCGGCTCTCTTCCCATATTCTGCGTACCGTGCACGATTTTCCAAGCCTCTATCCTGTCTTTTTTACTTGCCCACTCTAACCTTCATCATTTTGGTTGCCCTTGTGTGAACCATTTCGAGTTCTGCCGTATCTTTTTCGGGTCTAGTGACAAGAACAATGCCTAATTACAGCCTTGCAAAGCATTTCCTGCTTTCTGACATTGATCTTGGTATTACGTGCAACGTAATCAGGTTCTGTGCGGCTGCATATAAACTAAAGTTGTTGATCATTGCTAGAAGCAGCTAAATCCGATTGAACAGGGTTAGCCAAATATGGCTTGTTCTCAAACTTAAGACTGATTTTTGTCTGACTGTCTTTTTGATGGATGGAATTTATGCTTTGTTTTCTATGTATCCAGTTAATCATTATATATTCTTGCTGACTTTGTCAGAGGCTTATTTGTAAGTGAAGTTTGCGGTCCTTAAATTGTTTTTGGTTGATTTCTCTCTTATTTTTTTAGTTTCATTTTTTAAGGTGATTCTTAAATTATTCTGGCTCATGAGTCTTAACTTTTTCTATTCCTAATATTCCTTTTAGTCAAAATTTCTTGTATGTACCCTTTCTATTTATTTTAAACCTATTGGTCTAGCCTATGGATCTAAATTAGTGTTTCTCAACCTTGGCAACTTTAAGATGCATGGACTTCAACTCCCAGAATTCATTGCTGACTGGGGAATTCTGGGAGTTGAAGTCCAGACGTCTTAAAGTTGCCAAGGTTGAGAAGCACTGATCTAGAGTTACATTTGCCTCGTGATTCACTTTCTGCTGGTTAATGACCATAATAAAGATTGATAATAATGAATTATAATAAAGGAAGAAGAATAGAAGTGAGCAGAGGCCAAAGTAAACAAAGCAAAGATGAAGAGCAAGAGAATCATGATCTTGGTGTTTCTTTTTGTGTGTTTTACTCAGTTGTGCCAAGCTTGCTAACGTAACCACAAGAGTACTGTTTGCATACTCAGTCACAAAATGGCAAGGAGTGGGCTGACGAGGAAGTGGCATGCTTTACGGAGGTGTGTTCACATGTGCGCACACAGCACGTTAGCAGAATGGAGAAAATGCCTCCCCTTTGCAGTGACTATAAAGTGGAATACTGTAGGTGGTTTGGGAAGAAAAGCGGCTCTCTTTGGGCTCCGATGGCGTCTGAGTCCTTCCCTGTGTCTGAGTTAAAGTGGTCTCCGTCAGTTCTTAAGCCTGCCAAAAACCATCCCAGCATAAAATTTGGGGTCCCCCGGTGATCCCGATCCTGCCACCGAAAAGATGCTGGCAATTGCTGCTGTCCTCCTTTACGGCGTACAGGGCTTGTTCAGGATGAGGATCGGTGGACTCCCTGGCTTCGTTTTCCGCCCAAACATCATCAGAAGTGGGACGTGGCAGGGGACGTGACAGAGGGTGAAGCGGTGGCTTCAGCCACCTGCCAAAAGTTACTCCGGTTTGGGGCAACACTTTTGCCCGGGCGAATTCAGAGGGAGCCTGGGGTAGCCTGTGGCCCATAGCAGGAGAACGCTGACTCGGGGGGTGCACCAAGGCAGAGCTGACAGTTGTGCTCCCTTGGATGTGGGCTTCGTGCCATTCTCACACAAGCAGCTTACACAAGGAGAGTGCGATCGGAGAAAGCGAAAGCCGTTCTTAACAGGGGTGGTTTGCTTTGGGTGCCTCGTTTCCTGCTCGGCCTTAGAGTTTGTAAACAAGGGAGGGAAAGGGGAAAGTTCTTGGAAATACCATGGAAGGCCAACCGGTGTAAAGCTGCCCTTTGCACTACTACGGGCTGGCCGGTGGAGCACAGCAGAGGCAAAGCACCAAGGTGCGCCCTCATAAACAGCACGCAATGCTCAAGTGACACACTTCTTGTCATTGTTTTTAAAGTGTTTAACTGACCACAGCTGTGCAAAGCCACACCGACTGACATATAGTAAGAAGTAAGCAAGCAAACCTTCAAAACATACATGAGCAAAATTAAAGAGGAGCCACCGAGGGGTGATTCCCTTCCAGGTCAAAGGGACACATCGACCAGCAAAATTCTTCCCCTTGTTGTCACTGTCCCTCGTGTGTCCTCGGCCAGATCCAGCAGAGATTCCAGAGAGCCACAGCAGAGAAAACTTTAAGGGGAGGGGGGGTCAAAAAAGTCAAGATGGGGCTACAACTGTGGGATCAAAGCCCTGCCCTTTTTCTGCATACATCACAGGCTAAACTTTGGGTTGGCCCTTCTCTGAATCTGCAGGCTGGAGTTTGTGCTCCACCAAGACCCTCCCTAGACTTGTGAATCACAAAAAGAATGCTTATCATCCCTCTTGCTCCATATTGCCCCAGTGTAATGTGGGAAAGACCTTGGGAGACGGGGTGAAGAGATACTGCCTAGGGAACGGTCAGATAACAGGGGGGATAGCCCACAGCTGCATAATGGGTGGAGAAAAAAGCTCAGAAGAGACCCTTCCTAAGTTATCAGGCTCTACAGGTGAAGCAGGAGAGATGTACTTTCAGACTTGCAAGATTTTGTTAATGCAGTCTTACAATAAAGTAGAATTAGTTTATCTGGTTGTGTTTCCTATCTGGTCTAACTGGCAAGGCTGACACCTCTTCCTTTCATCTCCTTTTTCTACGCAGCAAAACTTCCCTCCTCGAAAGGGGCCTCACCTGAGCAAAGGCTGCCCCAGGCAGTTCCCTAGAATTCCCTACTTCCTTTTAGAATGTGTTTTATCTTCTAGCCCACATCCCTGAGGTTTCCTGGTGGTCTCCCATCCCTATACAAACCAGGACCCACCCTGCTTTGTTTCTGAGCCCAAAGCAGATCAGCCGAGTGAGACACGGGTTGCTTTACCCAGGCACGCAATCTGCGGGCACACTCTATGGGGCCCAAGATACCTCCTCATTGCAAACAGCCACAAGCGCCAAGCAAGCATGCAGTGGGCGAAGGTCCATCAGCACAAGGAGAAGCGGCGAGAGTTTATATTCATGCGGGTGACTCCAATGTGCTTGAGAGTGGTAGACAAGAGGAAAGCCATCTTGGGGGGGATGTTGCACAGCAGGTCTGAATCCTCCTCGCAGCCCTCCAGTTCGAAGGTGGCATCGTCCAGCATCTCTTTGTGCCGATGGCAAGCCTGCTCCACCTTCAGCTGGTGGATCTGGGCCCGCAGCGCCATCAGTTGCCGCGCCAGCTGGTGGTCCAGGGCCTGCATCTTCCTCTGGAACAAGAAACAGGGAAAGGATGGAGCAGGAGAGGATTTGCCTGACCCTGAAGTCAAATTAGCTCTGGACATGTTGTAAGTGAAGAAATAAGTACCAGCGGAGTCCCTGGTGGTCTCTGAGCTCGGTTGCTTGCTTACAGATGTTTCATTACCCGGCTAGGTCACATCATCCGTGCGCCTAGCTGGGTAATGAAACGTCTGCAAACAAACAACCAAGCTCAGAGACCACCAAGGACTCCGCAGTTCAACCCTGAGCTACAGATGTTCTCTTCTATTGAAATAAGTAACTCCTGCCCATCGCTTCACTGATGAAAGAATTCCAAAATGCGGAACTCGGCACGGGGGTCCAGAGGGAGGAGAAGGGAAGGCAAGTGACACCCGTCGTGATGTCCTCCCATGTATGATCCAATTATATAGCTGTTGTTAAGTTGACACATTGCTTCATTTGCATGATGGTTCCATGACACACATGACATCGTTTGCCTCCTTTCCAAGGGTGTTGCTGGGACGGCAAAGGAGAGCAAATGACATCAGGTGGAACATGACATCATTGCACAAATGACAAAAATGGTTCATCTGACATCCTTGTGGCTTCTACTGGATCCGACAAAACAACTTACAGTTCATTAACACACTTTACAGTTTGATTTATAACAAAAACCATGTTGTTCTACCTCTATCCTAAAATGCCCACCTCTTTAAACCCATTGAGCAGCTTAAACTTAGCCAGGCTTAATGCAGACCGGCCAGTGAGCAGCCAAACAGAGCCAAGGCTTATCCAAGGAAGCCTCCAGGGAAGGGCAACCACCTGGTCTCTCGATCTGAAGGAGGAGAGCAAAATATCTCGAGACAGAAGGGTGAGCCACTGCAAAGCCCACAAACAGGGTGTGGCCAAAAATGTCAAGGTGGTGGCTGCAACAGTTTCACAATCACAGTTCCACAACGCACATACGAAAGGGGGAGAGTTTTGATTGCACCGTTGCAGCCCCCATCGTCGCTTTCTTGACACACCCGCCCACAGAAGAGCGAGCAAACACAAAGGCAAAGCATGCCCACCAGTTCAGCTGTGGAGTTTCTCTTTTGCTCAGGTGAGGACAAAAGAGTAGGATACTCAGGACAAAACTCACCTTTTCATTTTCACTCCAGGCCTGGGAATCTCTCCAACCCCAAGCACCAGTTTGCAGCGCACAAGAGTGTTGTGCAAGTATTCTTTTATTTCGACATGATATTGATCTGCATATTCTGTCTGCTGTTCAATGCAGTGGCAGCATCAGATTGACCTTCTGAGGACTTGGAATTTCGATAAAGCCAGGCTTGGTTAGCATCTGATGGGGAACCTTCTAAGCAGCTCATCCTTGGCAGCTTTCAGATCTGTGGACTCCAACTCCCAGAACTCTGAAACAGATCTGAAAGCTGCCGAGAAAACTACACAGACCCATCCGTTTAGTCACCAGGAGCTGATCCTGACTCAAAGGAGAGTTGACTTTGTAAGACAGGATGAGGACTCTGCTCCCCAAGTGGTTCCTGAGCTACAATTCCCCATACCCACCCAACACACACCCAGCTAGGATTGCTGGAGAAATGTTCAGGATGGCCACGGATTCCCTATTGCTGAAATATATTGCTCCTCTCCTTCTTTTTCTCAAAATATGGGAA